AGTCTACCTAATAAATCCTCTTGCATAATTATACGTATCTTTTTGTTAATTCTGTTTCTCTAGAAAACCCTAACTAATACAGATGTTGGTATGGAGAGTGGTTATAGAGAAACAGAGTTGTAAGGATGAATTTCTCTAATTGATTTAGTGGCTCCTGGGGTTTTCTTTAATATGATGAGATCTAAAGTTGCCATAGTCTCCTTCTGATGATGTAGAGTACTGCTGATAGTATATGGAGGGAATAGTTTAAAGTAATATACAACATAGATTCATTTAATTATCCTAATTTTCTATTTGTGAGATGCAAGGAATTTAGTGACTTTATGTGCAATATTTCCGAACATTTTTGGAAAGTAAGGTATAATGATGATGGCTGGTTATTCTTAGCATCTCTAGACAAACTACTAAAGGAAAATAATAAGTTCAAAGATTCAGATTCCAAGCTTCAGACATGCTTAAACAGTCTAAAGCCTTCTAAGTGTGTTCTGAAGGAAACTCTTCTCTCCTTTGGCCATAGGGCTAAAGTTGTTGAAAACCAAACACAAGCCCTCCATAATGTGAGTGGCTGAGTTACAGTGAAAGTTTAATGCATAGCCTCAAAAGGTATCTGTAGTTAAAGTGAAGGCAATGATTAAAAAAGAATGGGATCCCATAAATTGAGATGGAGATATTTTAGAGGAACCTGACGAGGCTGGGACATTGAGCTCCTAAATTCTGATGAGATTATTTTTTCATAGGATGAGATTTCCTCACCCTCAGTGGGAGAGGCATCCCATTCCCACTCGCGGTGGTGTAGCCTTTCCACCTCTGCATGAGGAAATGAATCCTGTGTTGCCTATTGGAAACAGTATGACCTTTCCTGATGCAGTTACCAAGCAAGACAATGTCAATGCTCTGCCCTCACCACCCACTTTTGTATCTAAGCCTTAACTAGGCTCAAATCTCAAAAAACTCCCAAAGGTGAAGTACACAGCATGACCCATTAGGAGGTATGCTATATTCCCAAAGACTTCTTGAGTTTTCTAGTTCTTGCAAGCAGAAGTCTAGGGAATAAGCATGGGAATGGATTATGAGGGTGTGGGATAATGGTGGAAGAAATATAAACCTGGATCAGGCTGAATTTCTTGATATGGGCCCATTAATCAGAGATTCTAGATTTAATGTCACAGCTTATGGAATTAAAAACAAGTGCTAATAGTTTATTTGGTTGGTTGACTGAAAGATGGATCAAAATATGACCCATTGCAAATAAGCTGGAGATGCCTGACCTTCCTTGGTTTATTGTTGATGAGGATATTCAAAGGCTCAGGGAAATGGGAATGTTCTAGTGGATTTTCTGGGTAAATTCTCCACACTGTGTATTCCTCCACACTAGGAGGGTCCAGAAAAACATGATGTTCACTAATACCTTAAGAAACAGATTTGGGAGGGGAACATGATCATCCTTGCAGAGCTCTGTTACTGTTTTTCTTTGTATGCCAGACCTTACTGTGGGGTCTACAGCCACTCAGTTGGGAAACTTAAATATAATGGCTAAAATTGGATCCCTGGAGTGGCAGGGGCAAAGTGGTACTAATAACAAGCTGGGGATATTTACTGTGATGGGCAGCAGAAAGGCAATGATTGTAATGACATGACACATGTAGACCTATGGTATTGGCTAATTAATCATGGTATTCCTAGAAGCGAAACAGGAAATGAACAAAAACCTACCCTAAATCATAGCAACAGAGAATCATGACCTCTCAACCAATTCCCAAATTTGAGCTAGTTTACCCAGAACCCCTTGAGTTTCGGTGAGGCCAGGTCTCCTTGAGGAAGGATCCTGATGCACTACCAAAAAGTTATCCTGTCAATCTTTCTCCCATCCCTGCCTAAAGGAACCTATGGCCTTTTACCAGGGTAACTTTACACTAGAGAAAAGGAAATGATCAGACGTTTCGGGGACTACTGGACACTGGTTGTGAACTAATGTTGATTCCAGGAGATCTGAAAAATCACTGTGGTCCTTCATTAAGAGTAGGGACCTATGGGGCCAGGTATTTAGCTCAGTGGTTCCGCCACCTGCCTTGCAAGTGCAAGGTCCCAAGTTCGATCCCTGGTACCAAAAAAACACTGAAAACAAAAGAGTAAGTGCCTATGGAGGTTAGGTGATTAATGGTGTTTTAGCTGAAGTCCAACTCACAGTGGGTATAGTAGGTCCCAAATCCCTTCTGTGGTAATTTCTCCATTTTCAAATTGTATAATTGGGATAGATATTCTTTGTACTTGGCAGAATCCCATTTTGCTTCCCTATCTGTGGAGCAGTTGCCTCTACCTGGGAAAATAGCAAATTAAAAACAATATCACATCTCTGGAGGGATTGAAGAGATTAGTGCCACCATAAAGGACTTAGAAGATGAAGGAGTAATAGTTCCCACCAAATCTCCATTTAACTCTCCTATTTGGCCCGTGCAGAAGATGAATGATTCTTGGAGAATAGCAGTAAGCTTAATCAATCATGTGGCGACTCCAATTCATCTACTCTACCAGATGTGATTTCATTGTTTGAGCAGATTAACACATTTCCTAGTATCTGGGGTCCAGTTATTGATTTGGCAAATGTCTTTTTCTCCATATCTATCCATAAGGTCTGCCGGAAGCAGTTTGCTTTCTGCTGGCAGGGCCAACAATATATCATTACTGTCCTACCTTGGGGTATCAGCTCTCCATCCCTTGGTTACAACTTAGTTTTGAGCATCACCTTAGTTTGGGTGCCAGCTCTCCAGCCCTCGGTTACAACTTAGTTTTGGGCATCTTGATTGTTTTTTTCTTCCACAAGGTATCACATTGGCCCATTACATTGATGACATGATTGAAAGAAGTGAGTAAAAAGTTACAACCACCATGGAATTTTTGGTAAAGCATTTATGGGTCAGAGGATATGAAATTAACCCAACTCAACTCAAGGGCCTTGTACTTCAGTGAAATTTCTAGGAGCCCAGTGATGTAGGGTATTCATTCTATGGTGAAGGATAAGTTGTTGCATTTAGTCCCTCCTACAACCAAGAAAGAGGCACAATGCCTAGTGGTCCTATTTGGATTTTGGAGGCTCCACGTGTATTCCTCACTTAGGTGTGTTACTTTGCCCCATTTACTGAATGACTCAGACAGCTGACAGTTTTTTTTTTTTTTTTGGTACCGGGGATCGACCTCAGGTCCTTGTACTTGTGAGGCTGGCGGCAGAACCACTGAGCTAAATCCCTGGCCCAAGCTGACAGTTTTGAGTGGGACTCAGAATAAGAGAAAGCTCTGCAATGGGTCCAGGCTGCTTTGCTGTTTGCTCTGCTAGTTGGGTCATGTGGTCCAGCAGCTACAATGGTACTTGAGGTGTTCATGGAAGATAGGGATGCGGATTGGAACCTCTGCAAGGCTCCCATAGGTGAATCACAGTAGCAGCTCCTTTGTTGCTGTTATCATTGAATACCAGTCTCAAAATCTCTAGTTTCTACAGTCTTGCAATGCAGACCCACACCAGTGACTCTAGTGAGCTTGTAGGCTTTTGATTTTGGACTGGAGCTGCATTGTTGAGCCCTCTTCTTCTTTGTCTTCTATCTTCTTGGGCTCTCCCGTGTATAGACAGCAATTGTGGACTCTCTTGGCTTTGATCCTGTGAGTCTACCTAATAAATCCCCTTGTATAATTATAATTTTCTATGGCTTCTGTTCCTCTAGAGAACTGTAACTAATACTCTGCCAAGCCAACGTATACTACTTTGTCATAAGGACTATTTTGAGCTGAAAGCAATTAAGAAACAGCAGACAGGAGGAATTCTCTGCCTTCCCCTTTTTAAAGGCAGGACATGAATTTTTTAAAGGTGTCCCTTTCCTCCTCTTCCATGCCAGGAAGAAGGGAACATCTCTTAATCAACAGAGACCACCCTTGTCATCGCAGAGTCACCAACTTGAGTCTATATATTAAGCTTTACTCAAATAACCTTTATCTCTTATTAGTGTCCCCCATGTACTTACCTTCCCACAATTTATAGCCTTAGAAACCAGACTCCCTGTCCTTTATCTTGGCACTTCTGCACAATTTATTGTCTTTTGTTAAAATGATATATAAACTCTTGAAGTTTTAGTTCTTGTCTGTGAAGGTCCTTTGTGCATACAGAATAAACCTTTTCTCCTTTTAATTTTTTTTAGTTTAATTTTCAGGCCCCAGGCACTGAACCTAAAAGAGTAGAAGGAACCCCGCCCCCCCCCACCCCGAACACACACACACTTCAGAAGTGGTATGAAGTCATCTCATTAGCGCTATCACATGGTCATACCTTAAGCCCAGATGTTGGAGAGACCAAAATACTCGTCAAACAGCAGTCATGACTATGCCAGAGGCCTTTGATGCCCTTTCCTGAATACTGATTATAGTACTGGCAATTACATTAGTGTTTATTATATGTCAAGCATTGTGCCAACTGCATGATATTCTTTTTCCCAACAGTCCTGTGAAGTAGGCATTATTACCAACTCAGCCATTTTACAAATAAAGAAACTGAGGTATACAGAGGCTAAGTAACTAACTCTAGGCCAAACAGTAAGTGGTGGAACCTAGATTCAAACTTCAGCATTTGTCTTTGGAACACTAAGCTTCCACCAACACAACTTTCTATCTCTCTCATCTGAGTAGAAGCCATGAAAACTATCAAAGATAGTCTAAAAACACAGTCTCAAGAGAAGTGTGGATCTTGCTATCTCCCCTTGCAGGAAACTCCTTAGTTTCCAAGCTAGCTTCATATTTGACTAGCTTCATATATTCAGAGGTAAGGGGAGCATAGTGGGTGCTAGGATAGCAATTCTGAAGTCCAAAGATTATTTTATTTTGCCAAAATGAAACAGGAATAGCATATAACTTGTATCAAGGTCTTAGAGTGTGCCAGGCTCAGTGTAAGTCTGTTGCATTTATATAATCCTCATAACACTCCCATTGTTATTCCCCTTATACAGATGATGAAACTGAGGCACAGAGAGGTTATGTGAATTTCCTGAGGCCATGTGTCTGGTAAGCAGAGGAGCCAGCAAACCTTTGTACAAGGTATGGGATTGAAGAATTGTTGGATTTTATTTCTTTCCTGAACCCATGGTATCAGATCATTTTTAGAAAGGGTATCCATGCTTTCATGAGAATGTGTTGCCCAATCTTCTACTTTAGAGTCAGAGGCATCTATGAATGAAAAAGAGAAAACATGGAGAAATGGAGGGAAATTGCCACTGAAGACTCAAAATGATGCTTAATAAAATGTTTTTAAGAACTTAAAAATATTTGATTGTCTTAGCTACCTTAAATAACCCCTTTCCTATCTTATTTACTCTGCACTCCCTCTTATGATGGGGTGTCTTGGGCACTGCTCAACCTCAGGTGCCTCACCGAGCAGTTATCCCAAATACTTACTTGGTGGCCTTAGAATCAATGAGATTTTGGTTATTGAAACAATCTCAAAATTGAATTAAACTTCCAAGTGTATTACAAGGAATTTAACTTTTCCCTGAACCATTTAAGAATAAATTTCTGAAATGACCTCCCGTCACTGCTGAATATATTTATATTGTTTTTTTTTTTTCAACAAACAGGAATGTTCTCCTGCGTCACAGCTCTCAGAATGGGATCCCCAGCACTTGTGTCCCCTATAATAACTCACTAGCAATACACATTCTTGAGCCCCACCTCAGACCCCCTGAATCAGAAATTCTGGGGTGGAGGTCTAGTAGTCTATGACTCATGTCCTCTAGAGTCTAGGTGATTCTGATAAACACTCGAGATTACATGTGAGGTATTTTGTAGAATGTCCTGTATAACCTCAACAGAACCACCAAAATCAGGAAGTGAATATGAGTGTGTGACTAATCTCTGCTCCACACAATTTGCTGTTTTCATGTTCTTTATATTAAAAGGATGCTATCTAGACAGGCATATCCCTTTAATAACCTTCAGTTTGGGACAGTTCCTTCCTCTTTCTTGGGATTTATCACCTTGATGCCTTTGAAAATGATAGGCCTGTGATTTTATAGCAATCCTCTACAAAAGGAAGAGTTTGTCTTTATCTGATATTTTCCCATGATTAAATTCAGGTCATGGACCTTTGGCAGAAATCCTGCAGCTGTGATGCTGAGTCTTCATTGCATCCTGTCAGGTGAGGCACAATTTAGATTGTCCCAATTCTGATGCCTGAGTGTCATTCTCATTCCATTATGGGTCACTTTCCTACACAGATGAAGTCTTCGCTCTGCTTGGATTCTGACACTGTGAGCTGAGCTACTGTTCACATGTACCTAAGGAGACTCCACATGTAGTTAGGCCTCTGATTCTCTGCACTACCATCCTGCTTGCCCCTCAGGTCCAAAATCACACACTGGGCCAGGCCATCTGTCTCTCTCCATCTCTTGTGATTGCTTTCCTCACTGCACCTGAGCCCCAGCAACCATCCCATTCTGCTCCCCTCTGTCCCCTCCCTGCCCTTGTACATACTTAGCATGTCCTCTTCACCCTGAAAAGCTCCAATGTCTCACCCTGAAAAGCTCCAGTATCCCACCCTGGTGCTCTGAAAATTTCTCCCCCATTTGGGCATTTTGATTGAATTCATTAAAATAGACTGAAAAAATAAAGAGGAAGAAGAGGGAAAGGAAAATACAAAGAGGTTTTAATATACTTTTAAAATTAAGTTCCTTATCATAGAACCAGTAGAATTTATTTTCAACATTTGTTTAGGCAGAGTACAGGAACATTTCTATTTTAGTGCAAAGCTTATGAACCATATACTCTCCTAAAATAATAATGGTAAAATATTCAAGTTCCTAGAGGCATTCCAAGTATTTTCCTTGTTCAGAGGAGATCTAGCTAATAGTAGAAAAGAAGCATTTTTTTTTTTTGGTACCAGGGATTGAGCTCAGGACCTTGAACTTGCAAGTCAGGCGACAGCACCACTGAGCTAAATCCCCAGCCCTAAGAAGCATTTTTATTTTTTAATTTAATTTTATTTAATTTTTTTTGGTACTGGGGATTGAACTCGGGTCCTTGTGCTTGCGAGGCAGGTGACCAAACCACTGAGCTAAATCCCCGGCCCTAGGAAGCATTTTTAAAATTCAGTTTTCTAAGACTTTTTGAGTTTTAAATCTGCACTGCATTATCTCTTGTTCTAGTTGTTCATGCTCTAGTTGGACCATCTCTGTGTGCTTTCTCCCCTCACTGGTGTCTCTGATGTGTATCCTGAGGGCTTTTCCCTTCCTCAGTACTCTGATCCCTGGGCTCAGGTCACCTTTCAGAAGCAGAAAATAAGAGTCCAAGATGCCAAGAAGAAGCTGCTTATAAAAGTGTCAGATGAAAGAGTCAGATGCAAGATGTGGAAGCAGGCTTGCAGAATAAATTTTTGGTTTCCGTAAACTACATGATTCTGAACTGGGGCAGGGGGTGAATTTGAGGATGGAGGGAAGAGGAGAGAGTGGGAAGCCTTCTGGCCTGGGCAGGGGGCTGGGAATGGAATGATGGCATAGACATTTTGTACAGAGTACTAGGGAATCCTTGTAGGTCATTCTGCTGTCCTTGCTATCACCAGCAGTCAGTGGTCACCTATAGGCTCTGGTATCTGGGTAGAATTGACACTTGGCAGAGCCTTGGGGATTCTGCCCAGTCTCTTTCCCTTTCCTAAGCATAGCTTGATGCTGATTGTGAGTCATTGTAAAGCTCTGAGGATAGACTGAGGAATAATACAGCCCTCCCTGAGTTCAGGCGGTAGGGTAGTGCAAAGAGAGAGCCTGTCTCTATCAGGATGGGGCTAAGGGGGACAGGGTGGAATGAGGGGGCAAATGCCTTTTGGCCAGGATGGTGGTGAACAGTCCTTGTTTTATTATTGATAGTGTGGTAGATATATATGGACACTAAATATAAGCATATCTTGGTATAACATGAAAAATAAAATCCCCAATTCCATTCTGTAGAGTTATGGAAGTTCAACTCCACATAATAAACATATACTTCAACTTCGTGATTTATCAACCTTTTTTTGTATTTGTTGACACTGCTAGAAAAAAGAGGGATGTAATTCATTTCCATTACCCTTTTTATCCAACTCATATTCCTCCTTAGTTATTAAATTTTTAAATCTCTACTTTGTAAGATAAGAAATTTAGTGACAACACTTCATACTTTATTTCCTTCCTCTTTCAGCTGGTCAGGCATACTATTTATTTATTGACAAAGTTTGCAGCATTTATATTATTTTACATTTTAATTAAGTAAAATATTAAGAGTCAACAGCATTATAGTATTTATTACAGGACTAGTTAGTATTATAGATCTTTAGAAGAGGATATAGAATAAATTGCTACTCAGCAGTTCAAAGAAAGACGCTTCAGGCTTCAAGGGTAAATAGATTCTTTTCAAAATCAGACCTCAGGTCCCTTCAGAATTGGAGTATAACTTCCTAGAAATATGTGTTTGCCTTATTAAATGTTTATAACCATATTGCTTTTTTCTCCAATTGACTGAAGGAACATATTAACCACATTCCTGAGCTCATTCAGTCCTGTAAAGCAAATCACTGGTTGAATTCCCTCGTGTCTTTCTAGGCTTGCTCTCAGCCTGAGACTTTTTTCATTGTATTTCAATATTGATTATGTTGTTTCTGGGATTCTATATTCTACTTTTTATTTAATTATTACTTTCCACAACTTTGTTTTCATGGAGTTTACTCTCAATAGTTTTTAAAGAAAGCATTATAAAAGGTAAACTTGTGAGTTAGTGCATGTCTGAAAATGTCTTTTATTTTACCCTTGAACTTGATTAATAGTTTGGCTCAGTCTAGACTTTTAGGTTCAGAGTAATTTTTCCTCCTGAACTTTGAAGACTTTGATTCATTGTTTTCTAGTCTCTAAAATAGCTAAAGATATTGTTAATTTTGAAATTTAATCTATCCATTGCAGGTAACTTATTTCCTTTCATTCAGGGTCTTTTTTAGATTTAATGTTCTTTCATTTTTGGAGAGCTGTGAGGATTTGTAAGGACTGCTTCCCAGTTAGGGGAAGTTTTCTCTGATTATTCCAGTGATTTATTTATGCCTTCAGTATTCTCAAACTTTCACTAGAAGTCCCTTGCCAGAGCTTCTACTGAATGTAGATGGCCCTTTACACTTAATCCTCTCTTATCTGCTCTTTTTTCTCTAAACTTTGAATTTTCAGGCTTAATAATTTTCAATGTTTTCTTCCAGTCCTGCTGAATGTTTCATCAATCAACTATTTTAATTAAATTAAATTTAATTAAAAAATTTTTGGTGCTAAGAATTGAACCCAGGGGCTTGAGCATGCAAAGCACACACTCTAACCATAAACTACATCATCAAGAGCAGTTATAATTTTTATTCCATTAGTCTGTTCTTGGATTATTCCCTTTTCAAAAGTATGATTTTATCTGGAAATAATATGTTCACTGACACTGATTATACATTTTTAGTCCTTTAAATTTTTTCTTGAATTAATAGGCCTTGCAGGTTGAGTTTAAATGAGTTTTTCTTTCTTAGGGATGTTGTGTGTTGTTTCTCATCTGTCTGGCAATCCTTGGTTACACATTTGTATTTGCAATGGAAAGACTGTCAAGTAATGGGAAGTTAGGCAGATTTCCTGTCAGTACAGAACTGAGTGAGAGGATAGCAAGCTTTCACTAGAAGATTCTTCTCAGGGCAGAGCTTATCTATTGGGGGTCATCACTTCAGGATGTAAAGTAGGACTGGAAAGCAGGCAGCTCCCCTACCTCTGATGTTTTTGTTTATGGCCTCCCAGAGAGCACCATTCTACCCCAATTGGATTGTTAGTTTCTTGGAAATCCATGTCTTCCATTTGTGTCACTTCACTCCTCCTCTGAGTTCTTGCTAACTTGGAAGACTCCTTCCATGAAAAAATGCTCTCAGCTCTATCACAGCTTCTTTAGTGGATGGTCCAAGCATGGCATTTCTGCTGTAGTTCATCCAGTTTGTCTTCTTCTATCTTCTAGAAATTTCTTGGAAAGTTTGGCTTACTGCTATATTTCCCTATGTATGTTAGCACTTTGAAGAACTCCCTCCCTCCTTCCCTCCCTCCTTTCCTCCCTCCCTTTTTCCCTTCCTTCTATAAAACTCTATGTATCTAAGAATTCTTTCTGTCATTTTTATATAAGCAAGAATTCTTCATTGGGTATAAAATTGTTGGGCAAAGCTTATTCTTAAAATTTAAGGCACATGCCTCTATAGCTTATTTCAGCAGTTGAAGCCAACCTAAATGATTTTCTTTCTACCCTATGATACTGCTAAAGTGCAGGTAAGATTTTTAACTTCATTTACTTGCCTAAAATTTTAGCATGTTGAGACGAGGTATGATAGGTCTTTCTAAAAATTATTTTTCCTAGAATGCAATTATGTTCACCTATGAATCTTGGCACATGGTAGGCACTCATTAAAGTCAAGTGAATGAATGAATATATATAACAATAAAATTTGAAATCTTAGTATCTCCTCAGTTTAGGAATGTCTACTTTTATTATGATTTTTTTTTTCTGGAGATCGAACTCAGGTCCTTGCACTTGTGAGGCAGGCAGTGGCACCATTGAGCTAAATCCCCAGCCTCTTTATTATGATTTTAATAGTACTTATTTTTCAGCTATTCAGATTTCTTTCCCATGAGCTGCTACAGTTCTTGGCTTGTTCATTCTGTCATTGATTTGATTTTATGCAATATATTTCTTTTATTTTCTTCCTCCATTGTGGGTTTAAGTTCTCTTAGTACAGTTTAGTGTCCTTGCTTCATGTTACCATTTTTATCTTATTCTAATATCTCAATATTTCTTCTTATGGATTTCTGTCCTGTTCCACAAAGACTATATATTTAGACGTTTTAGTAAGGATGTTAATTTTAGTAATTTTTTTCTTGTTTAGTAGTTTTCTTAGTTCATTTGGGCTGGTGTAACAAAATACCACTGCCTGGGTAGTTTATAAGGAATAGATACTTACTTTTCATAGTTTCAGAGGCCGGAAATCCAAGATCAAGGGGCTTGTAGGTTCATTGTTGCATAGGGCTGCCTTCTCTGTTTCCAAGATGGCACCTTTTTGCTGTGTCTTCCAGAGGGGAGGAATGTTGTCCTTAAGCAGTAGCAGTGTTTCCTCTAACCTCTCTGTAAGATCATTAACCCATGAGTGAAGTCTCTGTCCCATGACTTAATCATTTCCTAAAAGCCTCACCTCTTAATACTATCATGTTAGTGATTAAGTTTCAGGACGTAGACGTGGAGAGACATTCAGATTTTGTATTGAATCAATTTCAAGGATGCTTATTTTTTTCTCTCAAACGTGTTAGCATGACTTTTTCTTGTTCTATAGTAGCGTTTTGTAGAGCCCATTTTTTACCTTTCTGCTCTCTTACCCTCAAAGGGGTCTAAATAATTATCTGTAGACAGCTCAGACCTTGGCCTACTATTCTGTCTACTTGTGATGTGAATCACATCTCCTTATCAGTGGTGGTTGGATGTGCAAGCCCTTTCTCCTAATACTGGTATTATCAGATATTCCCCTAGGACACTTTCCCTGACTGAATTGGGATTCTCTCTTCCCTTCTCTTCCTGACCCTATATTCACCAGAGTACCTGCTCACTGGGGTTCTAGTTGATCTTGATTCACAACTAAGTTTTATTTCCCTGATGGTTCTTTTGGGGTGCTTTCATCTTCCAGAATTTGATATGATAATGATACTTTCTGCACTCTGCATTCTTCTACCTTCCCTGTACTGGTTATTTGGGAATTATAGCCTTCAATTTTTCATATAAAAGGATCATTTACTTAGTTTGTAGATCCATGTTCATAGCACTATTATTTTTAAGAGCCAAAAGATGGAGGTAGCTCAAGTATCCGTGAATAGGTGAGTGGATAAACAAAATGTGATACATACATACAGTACATACCTACGGTGGAATATCAATCATTCTTAAAAAGGAAGGGAATTCTGACATGTGGCACACAGCATGGGTGAGTCTTGAAGACATTATACTAAGTGAAATAAGCCAATTATAGAAGGACACAAACTTTGAGTCCACTTATATGAAGTACTTAGAATAGTCCAATTCATAGACCTATAATGAAGACTATTGATTATCAGGGGCTAGAGGAATGGTGAGTTATTGTTTAGTAAGTAGGGAGTTTCAATTTTGGAAAATTAAAAATGTTCTGGAAGTGGATGGTAGTGGTAGTTGAACAACAATGTGAATGTAGTTAATGCCAAATCACTGTTCACTTAAAATGGTTATGACAGTAAATTTTATGATATTTATATCTATATGTTAGTCTGTTTTGTGCTGCTATAACAGAATGAGGTGCTCAATGATAGTTATTTTCCTTAAAAAGTGAGACTGAATGAGAAAAATTAGAACTCAAACTAAATCTTTCTATATGAGTAGGAAATACTACTTTCTCCTAAAAGGAAAATATTCTGAAATGAAGATGGCAAAACTAAAATTATATGAGAGTGGATTTTGCTGTAGATTGTTGTTTGGATAGATTGATGATTATTTCTAAATCTGTGAGGAAACTAATGTATTACACATGTGTGGGTTGTAACATTCATTTGATTAATTGTCTACCTATGCTTTAAATATCTACTCTCTAATTCTACATTCACCAAGTATGCATGTGCGTATGCACACATACATGTGTACACATGCAATTTTGCATAGTTTTTGTGCTTTGATATTTTAACAGCTCATATAAATTTTTCATAATCTTTATCCTTTTGCCTTCCAAAAATAACTTTTAAAATGTTTGACTAGGCATAAACTACTGTGGACTCTCTATGTAAGAATTACAAATTGCTGAGTCAAATAATTTGAATAATGATTCTAATTTTAATTGCTCTTTCTAGACCCTTTCCTTGGGTGGAATGCTGTTCAATGAGTTCCTATACTTTCTTGTGTGTACACCTATTATTTCATCTCCAAATTGTATTTTTATTACTTATCTGTCCATTTCTCTCCACAGGTTCTGAGCTCGGCAAACCAGGGACTGTCTTATGCATTTTTGTATCTGTACTGGCCTGCACAATACTCGATTAATGGTAGGTGCTTAGTAAATGTTTGATAAGTTAAATTGAGCCTTGGTCATTACAATGAATTGGTGATCTCAGTTTTCTTCTCTTTCTTTTGATGTTAAAGAGAATTACTGTTATTCTATGCAAACAATGTAAAAAGCTTGAGTTAGATACTATTGAGCATGAATCAAAATGACTCAAGTAAACTTGTAAGTACTAGAATACTTTTTTCATTCATTGAAAATGCTATTTAGAATGTTTCACACATCATTTGGGTTGATAGCATTTTATTTTCTCTCAGTGTCTGCAGAAGAGCTCTTGAATATGTTGATTCATCTTGTCTCCAGAAGATCACATTTCAGAGCCTCTGGATTATTAGGTTGGCACAGTCTACCTAATGGGATGACCTCATGATGGAGTTTCTAGGCTTTTCTGTAATGAAATCCCCTAGGATAAAGAGCAGAGAGTGGAACCTTTTCCTCAGTTCTGCCCTCTTGTTACCAGTTGGATGGAGAAGTTCTATAACCCTACACTCAGGAAGACTGGGAAGGATTTGATTATCTCTTTCCTCATCACTCTCTTTGCAGAATGGGAGTTAACAAAGATGAATATGAGATAATATTTGGTGAGGAAATTAAGAGGAGTGATTTCTAAATGGCTAGACCTGGATGGACTGAAATTAAGATCTGTTATTTTTGGCAAAAGAGCTAAGAGTGTAAGAAATCATTAATAAAAATACAATATTCCGTTCCTTTTTTTTCAACATGAAGCAAATACTAAGTTGAGCAAAAACAAACAAAACCAAAATTTCCCACTAAATCATGTTTGGAATTTACAAAAATAAAACGAAGTAGGGGATGGTTTTGGCAAAGAAATATTTTGTTTTGTCAACATCTACAATTAGAAGGGCCAGCAGAAGAGAATCTAACTTTGCAATGTCTGGTAAATATGCTAGAGGAATTTAGTACTGAATTGTAGTAGGAATTTCAATAAATTCCAACTTCCTAGTCCTTTTGGCCCAATATTGACTAAATAGGTTCAACTTAGTTTTCTAATGAAGTGATTCCTTCTGAGAATGCAATTTAGACAAGAGAACCAGTACAATCCTAAAGACAAGGATCATTTACTGAGGCCATTTTACGAACAATGAAATCACAATTGATAAGGAAAATTCTATCTACCATTCAAAGAGAATACAAAGAAGGGCAAGGGTTGGATAGTGAGAGGAGATAATCCTTTCCTGGAGAACACTAGGGATTAATAAATGACAAAATAAAAATTTCCAGCTGTTGTAATGTAGGTGGAGTAGGGTCAACAGTGAGGTATCTTCACAGCTCTGTAAGACAAGCCAGAAAACCCACCCCTATGGTGGTGAGATCAGATATCTTCAAATGCATTTTACAAGACATAAAAGCCCAGAACCAGAAAAGTATCAGATGGCATAGCCTCAAGGATGGATTAAAAAGGTCAAAGAAAGATTGCTCTCAAAAGAAGGGGACTGTTATCATGGGCTTTGGGAAAAGTGACCCAAGGATTAAATTTTTTGTTTTGTTTTGTTTTTTTTTGGTTTACTCATGTTGTGGAGGGGGCTTTAGACTTCTGGCCTGTTGGCATGTCAAGTAAACAGTTTGTCACTGCAGCAGCTGCTTGCTTGAGATGTCCATGTCTGTGAAGTTCTAACTCACCTAATCCTGCAAATCATACAACCAACATGTACCAGTCATTTCCTGCCTGCCAACTGTGGGGCTTCACTGATCTCAGTGCAAGCTTAAAGGCATTAGGCACTTAAAAGTTTTTTTTGAGATCTTTTTCAGTGTATTCTTTCCTACAAGCATTCCAATAAGCTCCCTCATAGGAACATTAGTTATCTCTGTGAAAAATAATAAAGAAAGCTCAATTTGCCTAGTCTTTCACCAAACATATAGGAGCTGCTGTTGTGCAGTCAGGCTGTGTTAGAAAATTGGACTGGAGAAATGATTCAGTGTGGGAGATAGATGGTTGTAGTAGACTTTGATAAGTATTTTGATGGGATGGCGTTGGTGCAGAGAGAAGGGTTGGGCTAAGATGGTGGAAGATATCTCAAAAGAGATGATTTCTGCTTTTAGGGAAATGCATATTAAAATCACATTGAAATACCATCTTAACCCAGAAAAAGTGGCTATTATCGAAATATACTAATAATAGCAAATGTTGGTGAGGAGGTAGGGAAAAAGGAACACTTCTACATTATTGGTGAGAATGTAAACTAGTAAAACCGCTATGGAAATCGGTGTAGAGATTTCTCAAAAAACTAAAAATAGAAATTCCATTTGAGTCAGATATCCCCCTTAAAGATATCTTCCCAAAAGAATGAAAATAATCATATTACAGGGATATATGCACACCCATATTTATAACAGCACAATTTATAATATTTAGATCTTGGAAATAGTGGTATATATCCATCAATAGATGATTGGACAAAGAAAATGTGGTATTTATTTTTTAAAAAATTTATTTTATTGGTACATTTTATGTAATGACATTCATCATTGGAAATTTATACCTTTACATAATCTCTCTTGGCTCTTATTTTTCCCCCTTCCCCTGCCCTCCTTTCAACCTCTCCACCACTCCCTATTTACACAGACTTTGTTTCCATTTTTTCATATTAATTCCGCTCCCTTCTTTCCTTTCCCATACCCCTCCCACTTCCCCTTCCCCTTTGCCCCTTTTCTTCCTATTTCATGTTATCTGTTATACCTTTTAGTCCTTATTTACACTTTCAGTTTCTCACACTATAAAAACTGTTCGGTATTTACACGTGTGTCCTGTTTATTTCACTTAAGAGTATCGCCTCAACGTGCATCCATTTAGCCATACATCTCTCTACTTTATCATTTTTATGGCTGAGTAGTACTCCATTTTATAGAAAAACCCACATTTTCTTTATCTAGTCTCCAGCTGATGGGCAATTGGGCTGCTTCCAAGTTTTAGCTATTACAAATTGTGCTGCTATGAGCATGGGTACGCATATATCACTGTGATATGATTCTTTTAATTCTTTGGGGAAGATTCCCAGCAGGGGAATAGCTGGGTCAAATGGGAGTTCCAGTCCTAGTTCTTTGAGGTATCTCCATGTTGATTTCCAAAGTGGTTGCACCAGTCTACACTCCCACCAGCAGTGGAGCAGGGTTCCTGTTTCCCCACAGCCCTGCTAGCATTTGTTATTGGTTGATTTCATGATAGCAGCCATTCTTTCTGGAGTGAGGTAGAATGTCACCGTTATTTTCATTTGCATCTCTCGAATGACCAGTGATGTTGAACATTTTTTCATGTTTATTTGCTATTTCTAATTCTTTGTCTGAGAAATGTCTGTTCATTTCAGATGCCCATTTTTGGATTGGGTCTTTAAATTTGGGAGGTCTGATTTTTTAAGTTCTTTATAGATTCTAGATAGTAGACCTTTGTCTGAGAAACAACAGGTGAAGATTTTTTCCCACATTGTGAGTTGCCTCTTCACACTGTTGGTGGTTTCTCTTGCTGTGCAGAAGCTTTTGTTTGGTACTGGGGATCGAACTCGGGTCCTTAAACTCGTGCAGCAGGTGGCGAAACCACTGAGCTAAATCCCCAGCCCAGAAGCTTTTTAATAAGAAGAGATCCCACTAGTTGATTATTTGTGCTAGTTCATGGGCATAAAATCTTTTCCTACACCAATATCTTCAAGAATTCTACCTAACCTCTGTTCCAGATGATTCAGCATTTCTATTTTGCTATTTAGATCTTTAATTGATTTTTATTTTAGTGTAGCTCTTGGTGAGAGATATAGGTCTAGTTTTAATCTTTGGCAAGTTGAAACCCAATTTTTCCAGCACCATTTATTAAAGAGGCTATTTTCCTCCAGTGAGGGTGTTTGGCTCCTTTATCGAAGGTGAGATGGCTAAGTGGGTCTGGAGTTGTTTCTGCATCTTCTAATCAGTTTCACTAGTCCTCAGGTCTGTTTCTTTACCATTCTGTTTTTATTCTGTTTTACAGTAGCTTTGTGGTATAGTTTTAAGTTGGGATTTGTGATACCCCCTGCCATGTCTCTGTTACCTAGAATTGCTTTTGCTATTCTGGATCTCTTCTTATTCCAAATGAACTTTTGGATTGTTTTCTCAAGGTCTGTGAAGTACGCTACTGGGATTTCAATTGCGATTCCATTGAATCTATGTAGCAGTTTTGGAAGTATGGCCATTTTCACTATATTGATTCTTCCTACCCAAGAGCAGGGGATGTGATTCCATTTTCTGATAACATTTTCAATCTCTCTTTTCAGAGTGCTGTAGTTTTCAGAGAAGAGGTCTTTGGTTTCTTTTGTTAGGTTGATTCCTAGGTATTTCAGTTTTTTGGATGCTATTGTGAAAGGAATT